CCTGGGTTTCGGGCTAGAATTCTAGTAGGAGGTGTGCAGGGGGCAATCATTGATTCTCTCTCTTCATTGATGTTTCTATCTCTCCCTCTCTCTTCCTCTCTGAAATCAATAAACATATGTATTTTTTTAAAAAATAAAATTGTATTTTTATTGATTTCAGAGAGGAAGGTAGATGGAGAGAGAGAGAAACATCAATGATGAGAGATGGATCGGCTGCCTCCTGCACACACCCCACTGGGGATCGAGCTCACAACCCAGGTATGTGCCCTGACCGGGAATTTGAACCATGACCTCTGGTTCATACTCAACCACTGAACCACACCTGCAGGCATTGGTTGATTCTTGTATGTGCCCTGACCAGGCATCAAACTGCAAACCTTAGTGTATCAGGAATGCTCTAACAACTGAACAAACTACCCAGTCATGGCGGAAATGATTAAAAAAGAAAAAAGAAAAAAAGTAAGTCCCTTTGAAATGAGTTCCACTCTCTCGGGATTTAATATACATTATTGAGTAACAAATGGGCAACAACCAGAATTTGGTGGCACCTAATACTGAAGAAGGTGTGAGATCAACTCTCCTTTCAAATCAAATTTTTCTGATTTGATAGTTAGATCTGATCCCAGATTATTATGATAAACAAGAGTACTTGCTTCAAGGAGAAACTAGTCAGCCTTTTCTTTCTTTTTTAAATTATCAGGCTTCTTTAAATATATATATTGATCTCAGAGAGAAGGGAGAGGGAGAGATAGAAACGTCAATGATGGGAGAATCATTGATTGGCTGCACACCCCCAACTGGGGATCAAGCCTGAAACCAAGGAATTGAACCGTGATCTTCTGGTTCACAGGTCACTGCTTAACCACTGAGCCGCGCCAGCTGGGCTAGTCAGCCTTTTCTATCCACCTCTTTCCTCTTCCAAACGAAGGTGAACAGCCAATAAACATTTTCTAACAAGTTTGATTTTTTTCCTTTGTCACATGTGTGGTCATTTCACATTTGCTTTGCTAGTAGTTCTTTTCCCACTAGGGTTGACATTTCACATGACTTGAAATAGCCCTAAATTGTTCCAAATTTAGGCAGAGCTAACTTATATTCTCACATAAGCCACAATTCCCCCAAATGCTCTTTTTTAAATCCTCACCTGAGGATATTTTTCCATTGAGTTTTAGAGAGTGGAAGAGGAGAGACAGGGAAACATCAATGTGAGAGACACATCGATTGGTTGACTCTCAAATGTGGGGGATTAAGCCTGCAACCCAGATACCTGCCATTGACCTGAATTGAACCCAGGACCCTTCAGCCTATGAGCCAAGCCAAACGCTCCATCCACTGAGCCAAACTGGCTAGGGCACCCGTAGCATATTCTTAAGACTTCTGGCTAGCTCCTTCTGGAATGTTCTATCTGCCAGTAGGGTCAGCTACATAATTTGTGTGGCCTAGTGTGAAATGAAAATGTATGGCCCATTTTCATAAAAGAAGGAAAAAAGTTTGTTCTTAAGTTGCTCTCTCAACTTGTCGTGGTTGTTTTTATTTGCTGCTGTTTTTGTGCTCTCAGGTATGGAAATACTCAAAGGGTAAGTGCAAGCCCTCACAAGTGCCCAGGACTGTGCCTTGAGACAGCATGCATTTCCTAGTCTGGGAAAATGTGATCTAATGGTGGAGAACAGACTAAATCAGACTCAACTAAGTCCTCAGTCTTCTATTGGCTGCATTCTGCTCTACACCAGTGCCTTGAGGCAAAAAAAAAAAAAAAATGCCTCAAGGTGCAGCCATCTCAAGGGGAGGGAGGGTTACAGGGTAACAGGAAACTGAGAAGAAAAAAACATTGGTTAGATCATCAAAATATTATCCCTGTATGCACATCAGTGTCTGAGAACTGTATTAATGATCGAGACCCCCGGGAGTTGATCTACTCTTTGTGAGTTAATAAATCAGGTCTTGAGGTAAGGCTAGGTGCCAGACTAAGCTCTGAGGCGAGTTGATACCATGGGGATTTCCATGGGTAGCCAGTTTGTCTAGCTATGGTGACTCCATTCTGTCTTCCTGCATACGCTTCTAAAAAGTCATGTACCCTTAACAGTTCAGGGGCCCAAATGGGAGTGATGGTGTGGTTAGTTAGGGAGGGGAGGAGAGGTTGGGCCTCACCCTTTTCCCCTCCCTTCCTTCACACCCCGTTTTATTGCATCACAAAATGCCTTTCATCATCAGAGTCAATTCCAGGCCCCTGCTTTAGGAGGGAAAACCCCCAGCCTTCTGTACATTCAGAAAAGGATATTTACCGTATGAAGCCAGCCTTGAGGATGCCTTCATTTAAAGTTCAGAGGTCAACCTGCCCCACTCCACATAAGGCCAGATTTTACAAGCGGGTGTTTCCTACTTCCTCAACTCGCTGGCAGTCCAGTATTAAAAGAAACCAAAACAGGTCCCTCACTTTAGTCAAAGAATTAGAAATGATTCTTTCCTGACTCAGAGGGAGGGGCCCAGTACCCACACACTGGCAACGACATAACACAGAAAAGGAGGGTTGGAGTGGGGCCAGAAAGTACCAGGCCTCGTGTGGTGTCCTCTCCAACAGCAGCTGCCCAATGTCTTTAGAGCCCACCTCTTCCCTGGAGAGTTCCCTCCGACTTGAGAGTTGCAGTCACCCTCTGCCTGACCTGGACCATGTTCCTGTGATCTCTTGAGCTTTGTGAAAAAGACGAGTGAGAAAGCGAAGGGCCTCTTATTTATCAACATTGCCCTTTTCTTGTCAGCAGCATTTATGTTATTAACCACCTTTCTCTGAAAATCCTTTTCCTTTTTGGATATATTTTCTCTCTTCTGATTCATTCGTTTATTCAATCAGCAAACATTCACTGAGCGCCTGTAGTACAACAGGCACAGTATTGGATTCAGGGAACACGAGCGTAAGACACCTGGTCTCTACCTCCAGGTTCGTCACTCATAAAGGATCTCCCCATTACCTGGCTACTCCACTTCTACTTCTCCCTCTCAGTTCTCAAAGGTGACATCTCCTAAGGCTTTTTCTTTTGTCCTTCATGTCTTCACTCCCATAATACCAATATCACCAGTTACAACAGTCCCTTAAATCCTACCCCCAATCTAAAACTCTCTCCCAATCTTCAAAACTGATTTTCCAATTGACCAGTTATTTCTACCTAGATGTTGCAATAACTCAATTCATAAGGTCCAAAAAAGAAATTTCCCAACTTTCCATCACCCCCACCCCAACCTGCCTCACTCCTCCTCACCACCTTACCCTTCTGACTTCAGTGCTTATACTGATAAAACACTCCTTCCCCAAGTATCCAGGGTAAAAAAGTTTGGGGTTTTTTGGACTCCTTACTCATGCCTCTGCCCTTCCACAGCCAATCAATGGTCAACTTCAATCAATTCTACAGCCGTGCTGTGTCCCACAGATGTGTCATTTCCATCCCTACCACCACCCTGGCTGAGTATCTCCTGAACTAACTAGTTCCCTGTCTGGTTTCCATGATTCAGACTTGCCCTCTTTTTAATCCAGAGCTCCCTGCATGTCTTTTTCTTGGCTGAAAAGTCTTCAGGGGTTCACCATTTTCACCAGAATAAAATGCAGAATCCAAAACCTGACATCCAAGACCTCATTAAAACAACCCTGTCCTTTCCCACATTTTCTAGTTTTCCTAACTGAGGCCCTGAGCGTCAGTCAAATTGAACCACTAAGTTCTTCTTTGCTCAGGCTGTTTGCTCTGCCTAACATGCCTCTCTAATTCCTATTTTCCCTGATCCAATTCAAAGCCCAACCCAAACCTTTCCTATTCCGTGAAGCCTTCTCTTCTCCCCAATAGTTGGGAATTTTTTCTTCTTCTCTAAAGAACCACAGCCCTCAATATACACCTCTCTGAGACCCACATATCCTGGTTTGTCTTACCTCTCCTGGTGAATTGTAAACTTGAAGACAAGAGAAGCTGATTTCCCACTGCATCTTCCATACTCTAGGAGAGAATCTTATGTAGAGCAGCAACAAAATAGAGTAGAAAGAGCAAGATCTTAGAATGAGAGGTCCTGGTTACTGGAACCTGAAGAAAGTTTGTCATAAGAATAAATGTTATGCCCTAGCTGGTTTGGCTCAGTGGATAGAGTATCTGTCTGAAGACTGAAAGGTCCCGGGTTTGATTCCAGTCAAGGGCACATGTTGGGGTTGCGGGTTTGATCCCCAGTAGGGGGTGTGCAGGAGGTATCCAACAGATGATTCTCTCTCATCATTGATGTTTCTCTCTCTCCCTTTCTCTTCCTTTCTGAAATCAATAAAAAATGTTTTTAAAAATAGATGTTATGAGTGGGACTGGATGGGCACTGAATATCAGGTCCTGAATGACAAAGATTTCCATGAGGTATTTTTTTTAATTCCATTTTTTAAAATATATATTTTTATTATTTTTATTGATTTTGAGAGAGAGGAGGAGAGGAGAGAGAAACATCAATGTGTGAGTGAAACATCAATCAGCCACTTCCTGCATGCCCCTACCAGGCATTGAGTCCACAACGCAGGCATTTGCCCTGACCAGGAATTGAACCAGCAAAATTTTGATGCCCAACCGAGTCACACCGGCCAGGGCTTCATGAGTTCTTTAAATAATTTATTATCTTACGGGTTTGTGATATGTGGGGTCCTCTAAAGTATAGCTTCCAGAGTAGGTGATTCTCTTGCTTGGGTCTAAGTATTAGAAGTAACAATCTAGTAAGCAAGGCAAAACAAAGCAGGAAAAAGAGATTTCACTACTTTTTTTTTTTTTTGCTGCAAAAAACTTTATTGTTTCATTTGGTCCAATGCATTGGAGAGGGCTCCAGAGTGGTTAAAACAGCGGTTCTCAAACTTTTTAAACAGGGGGCCAGTTCACTGTCCCTCAGACCGTTGGAGGGCCGGACTATAGTTGAAAAAAACTATGAACAAATTCCTATGCACACTGAACATATCTTATTTTGAAGTAAAAAAACAAAACGGGAATAACAATATTTGTATTTGCATGTGGCCCGCGGGCCGTAGTTTGAGGACACCTGGGTTAAAACAATGGCTAGTAGTTTCGGGAAGAGGCTCAAGTAAAAGCCAAAGACAACAGGGTGATGCAGAGGGGCCTCTGTAAGGCCTCTAGGCTCCAAAGGCTCCTAGTCGTGCTTGAGGATGAGCCTTTCGAAAAGATACTCGCCCAGCCCAGCCTGGGCGGCAGTCAGCCTGCGGATGTCAGACAGGTGGTCGCCCATCTTCTTGATCAGTTTCACCTCCTCATCCAGGAAGTGGTTCTCCAGGAAGTCGCAGAGATGAGGGTCTGCACAGGTAGAACCCAGGGCATGCAGATCCAAAAGGGCCTGGTTCAGGTTCTTCTCTAAGGCCAGGGCGGCTTCCAGGGCATTCTGAGTTTTGCCCCAGTCTTTTTGGGAAGGTTTCTTCACATCCGGGAAGAGAATGCGGCCGCCACGCTTGTTTTGCAACTTAAAGAGATGCTCAGCGCCCTCGCGCTTCTTCTCTGCCAACTCGAGGAAGAAGTGGCCCACACCCTCCAGAGCCACATCATCACGGTCGAAATAGTAGCCCAGAGAGAGGTAGGTGTAGGAGGCCCGCAGATGCAGGTTGGCCAGGCGATTGACCGCAGCCTCCACCTCGGTGGAATAATTCTGATGAATTTGGGAGCTCATGGTTGTTTAGCAATAAGGAGTTAAGGTAGGAAAAAACCAGTGTCCTGGAGGTGGTTCTGAAGGTGGTGACTGAATGAAACGCAGGAAAGTGGCCGGAGGCTGGAAGAAGGGGAGTCCCTGCGTCTGTTCTGTCCAAACACTGTTAAAGCAAGAGACAGATCCGGTACCTTTGAGTGCACTGCGACTACTTTTTCTTTTTTGTAGCACTGGTCTAATTTCAAATCTAGAAGCAAAAGCAATTCATAGAAAACTTTTTTATGATTAGAAAAATCATAAAATCTTGTTAGTCCTGACCGGTTTGGCTCAGTGGATAGAGCGTCGGCTTGTGGACTGAGGGGTCTCGGGTTCGATTCCGGTCAAGGGCATGTGCCTTGGTTGTGGGAAAAAAAATCTTGTTAGAAAAGTTTGCAAACCAGTTCAGCCAGTGTTGCTAAATGGCTGAGAGTCAACCCATGAGCCAGGAGGTCATGGTTCGATTCCAGGTCAGGGCACATGTCCGGGTTGCAGGCTTGATCCCCAGTAGGGAATGTACAGGAGGTGGCCAACTGATGATTCTCTCTCATCATGGATTTCTCTTTCTCTCTCCCTCTCTCTCTCTCTCTCTCTCTCTCTCTCTCTCTCTCTCTCTCTCTCTCCCTCCCTCGCTCCCTCCCTCTCCCTTCCTCTCTGGAACCACCAAAAACATTTTTTTTTAAATTGCAAACCAGTGGTGGGGGGAGGGTGTTAAGGAATTGGGGGGATTGAGCAAAAAAGAAAAAAAAGAAAGAACTCATGGACATGAACAACAGCGTGGTGATTGGTGGGGTGGGGACATGGAAGAGGGCATAGAGGGAATAAATGGTGATGGAGAAAAAGAAGAAAAAGTTTGCAAACCAATAGCCTGACTATACTTAATGGAGTAATTCTACAGTTATTCCTTTAAAGTCAAGTCTAGAGCAAGGAACGAATGGGCACTATTTTTAAACATTGTTCTAGAAATTCTAGCCACTAAAGTAAAACAAGAAATAGAAATAAGAGCTCTAGATATTTGAAAGACAAAAGTATCATTATTTGTAGATGATATGCTACTTCACCTAAAAACACAAGAAAATTTTCTGAAAACCACTAGTATAGGCAAATTCATAATTATGCATATCACAATTATAAAATGGTCCTATATAATAAAAGACTAATATTCAAATAGACCAAACAACCGATCACTATGATGTGTGCTGACCACCAAGGGGAGTACGTGGCAGGTGTCGGCAGCAGAGCATAGAACATGGCAGGCAGCGGCAGGATAGTGGAGCAGGTGAGTGGGGGTGCCAGACCAAGGCGGGGCACTGGTCGCTGTCATCGGGGCAAGACTCTGGTAGTTGCTGAAAATTCTTTGCTCCCACATGCCGCAGTCCAGCCCAGCGCTTGCACCTACTGCCGGCGCCCAGCGCTGGCCCCAATTGCTCAGCATCATCAGCGGTGTGAGCAGCGGCTGTCAGCCCTGATTGCCCCTGAGGGCTTCTCTACCTCACCCTCCTCCTGAGGGGCAATCGGGGCCGGCAGCTGCCTCTCGCACCCGCTGCCAGCAAGGCCCTTCTGGCACCTGCAGCCAGCACCCAGCGCCAGTCCTGATCACTTGGCACCGTCAGCGGGTGTGAGTGGCTGTCGGCCCTAATTGCCCCTCAGGCTGATGGCGTGAAGCAATTGGGGCGGACGCCAGCAGTGGGTGCAAGGAGAGCCAGCACTGTCAGCGTGGGAGTGGCAGGAGCAGGGCGGACAGGGGACTGGGGGCCGTGCCAGGAGGGGCTGGGTGAGGTCGTGGAGGATGAGCTAAGACCCACCCCTGTGTTCACTGCAGCCTCTTGGCACATAGTTCCTTTCAAGGTGCACGAATTTGTGCACTGGGCCCCTAGTTAGAAAATAAAAAGATTGCTCTAGCTGGTTTGGCTCAGTGGATAGAGCATTGACCTGCGGACTGAAGGGTCCTGGGTTTGATTCCAGTCAAGGGCATATGCCTGGGTTGTGGGCTCAATACCCAGTGGGGGGCATGCAGGAGGCAACTGATCAATGATTCTCTCTCATCACTGATGTTTCTATCTCTCTCTACCTCTCCCTTCCTTTCTGAAATCAATTTAAAAAATTAAAAAAGAAAAAGATTTTTCTATATGCCAATAATATATAGCTAAAAAATATAATGGTAGCCGGGGTGGGTGTGGTTCAGTTGGTTGGAGCATTGTCACTACACCGAAAGATGATGGGTTCAATTCCTGGTCAGGGTACCTACCTCCAGGTGGGTTTGATCCCTGGTCAGGCCATGTGCAGAAGGCAACAGATGGATGTTTCTCGCATCGATGTATTTCTCTCTTTCTAAAATCAATAAAGTAAGCCCTGGCCGGTGCCCAGTGGTTAGAACATCAGCCAGAAGACCGAAGGGTTACGGGTTCGATTCCCACTCAAGGGCACATACCTGCAGGCTCTATTCCTGGCCCTGGTCAGGGCAGGGCATATGCAGGAGGCAACCAATCAATGTGTCTCTCTCACATCAGTGTTTCTCTCTCTCTCCCCCTCACTGTCTAAAAAAATCAATGGAAAGGATATATTCAGGTGAGGATTAAAAATAAAAATAAAATAAATAAGGTAAAATTTATTTAAAATATATAATGGTAAAATAAATTTTAAAACTCTTATATGAAAAACATGCAGAGCCTTTGTGGAGAAACTACCAAACTTTACCTAAAAACCTAAAAGAATAACTAGAAAAACAATCTGATTTGCCTGGAAAAACTAAATATTATTTCAGTGTGTGTGTGTGTGTGTGTGTGTTCTCAACACCACTGAGCAATTTTCTAATTCTCAGTAGACATTGACTGGGTGTCCTACAATTTAACTTAATTCTAACACTATCTACCCTGAGGATCGATGTTTCTCTTTATATTGATGTCTCTCTCTCTCTCTAAAAAAACATATCCTCAGGTGAGGATAAAAAACCAAATTGTGATCACTGTATAAAAATAGAGAAGCCAGGCCCTGGCTGGTGTTTCTAAGTGGTTAGAGTATCAGTCCGTGCACTGAAGGTCTTGGGTTCAATTCCCAGTCAAGGGTATATTTCTGGGTTACAGAGCAATCACTGGCACCAGTTGGCATGTACACAGGAGGCAACCGATTGATGTGTCTCACATTGATTTCTCTCTTCTCTTCTCTCCCCGCCCCCTCTCTCTCCCCTTCCCTTCCACTGTCTCTAAAAATCAATGGAAAAAATATCTACAGGTAAGAATTAACAACAAAAAGAATAAAGAAGCTAGTCCACAGAATAAAATTTTAAAATCAAATCTATTTATACATATATAAGGGTTTAGAATATGATGAATGTAAAATTTCTAATTGGTGGGATAAGGACGTTTTATTTAATAATGGATGTTGGACAACTAACCCTTGTAACAAGATTTAGGTTATTCACTTACCTCATACCATGTATCAAAATTAATTCCAGAGAGATTAAATATTTATATATAAAAATGTCTACCCAGAGACAACTGTTGATAAATTATTTTATATCTGTAAGATGATATACTATGAAGTCATTTAAAACAACGAGAAAAATATTTTATGGCATGAAGAGATGAACACAATACACTGTCAGCTGAAGAAAGCAGGTTACATAATACCATGTACAGTACAATTTTACTCAGAATTTTATGTTAAATGCACATTTGGTTAGAGTAATAACTAGAAAGACACAGGTCAAAAGTTAGCAGTAACTTTTGGATTTTTTTTTTAGTTCTTTTTTCTTTTTTTTGCTCAATCCTTCTACCCCCAGCAGTAATTTTTTTGAGTGGTAAAAACTATAGGCAATCTATACTTTTTTTGCTAATCTGAATTTTTAAAAATATTAAACATGTATTTCTTCTTAAAAAATAAAATGTATTTGCCTGGCTGGCATGGCTCAGTGGTTGAGCATCAACCTAAGAACCAGGAGGTCACAGTTCAATTCCAGGTTAGGGCACATGCCCAGGTCGCAGACTCGATCCCCATCAGGGGCATGCAGGAAGCAGCCAATCAATGATTCTCTCGTCATTAATGTTTCTATCGCTCTCTCCATCTCTGAAATCAATAAAAATAGTTTTTTTAATTAACCAATGAATGCATAAATAAGTTGGACAACAAATCAGTATTTTTCTCTCCCTCTAAAATCAATACATTTTTTAAAAGGATAAATTCTACTATGCCCAATTGCAAGGTATATTGTTTTCACTGAGACCTTGTATTTCCTAAGTATTTTACATATTACATTATTGTAATGTTAACGTAAAAACATTCAAACCTGTAAAGAATTTTTGTGAATTTATTTGAGCCAAACTGTCGACAGTTGCTGGGCAGCAGTATCTCAATGGATTGGGGTAATGCTCCAGAGCAGCAGTTCTCAACCTGTAGGTCGCGACCCCTTTGGAGGTCAAAAGACCTTTTCACAGGGGTCGCCTAAGACCATCGGAAAACACATATATAATTACATACTGTTTTTGTGATTAATCACTATGCTTTAATTATGTTCAATTTGTAACAATGAAATTGGGGGTCACCACAACATGAGGAACTGTATTAAAGGGTCGTGGCATTAGGAAGGTTGAGAACCACTGCCTTAGGTGGTTCTAACCAAGGCAGCACACAGGCCAGGAAGTCTGCTCTGCCAGGGAGCAGCTCCAGGCCAAGCACACCCTCTTCCCTTATCCTTGACTTAGAAAAACAAAGGCAATAGGCAAATCCACTTGTCAGCGTTTCTGAAGCCAGCTGTTAGCCTCTCCTCTTCCTGCCCCTCTTTCTTTTCTTCCTTTTTCCAGAAAAACCTGGAAAGCTCTGCAAAACTTTGCAAAATGCCGTACTAGCTCTGGCTGCCTTCTATTTATTTATTTTTCTCTTTTGGCCTGTGTCATCCTCTCAGGCAAGGACCGCAGTCTGACTTCCTGCCAGCTCGCCTGCTGGGTTCATTAGAGTGTCTTAAAAAAAAAAAATCTGTATTTTCCTAAGAC